TATATATATATATTAGATAGAAGCGTAAAACGTCAATCAAGTGACGAACCTAAATCCGCTGATATAAGAGCCTCCCCCTCGTAGTTCGGGCCTGCCAGCACAGCTCCCGAGGGGGATATTATCACACTGCCGCCCGAGCAAACAACAGATTCCGGCAAGAGTTCTTCTTCCGTGCCGGAAAATACATACTCGGGTGGCGGAGGATAATCTTTCCTCCGGCAAAACTGATTGGCAGATAATACGAAACAGCCACCTTCAAGGGCAATGTGGGTCATTGATGCTTGCCACACGTCTCTCGAATCAGCTGTTGGGGCACAGTATATTTCAACACCTGAGAAAAAAACAGAAAGGGCACAAAAAAGTAGATTGAGTACGCGGTTCACTTCACACACACTAAAAAGAAGTAAAGCAAAGGCTAAAATGCATTTTTAATCCTTTTAGTTTAATGTCGTAACAATTTTAGTCCTAAGATTTAAACTTTTTGCCTTTTGTTCTTAGTTCTTACCAACAAATTTTCAATTAAAATTGCAGCAAAATTTTCAATTAAAAGACTTAAATTGCTAATAAAAAATCTGGGAATAAGAAAATTTGTTGCAATTCAGTCCTTTAAATTGCAGCAAAATATTAAATCACAAGACCAAAACCCAAAATGTTGAGACCTTGGGACTAAAATTGCTATGGCGTTAAACCATCAGGACTAACAATGCAATTTTGCCTAAAACAAAATTAGTTTCTTGTGCTTTAAACACTTTTGATGCTTATGTTATCGTGCATAATCCGGGAGCTGGATGCGTCTGGATGCAAGATGTTTTTATATTTCACTCCTTTTCACATTTTTTTTTTCTCTTTCCAACAACATCTACTAGAGGAAAAAAAAAATTATTGATTTAGATTTCCCTACGAACTTCAGTTTTCAAATTTCATACACATATATCAACTATTAAATTATTTACAAGAAACTATATTACTATTTTGATATCAATCAACTTACTTACAACTAGCATTATTACCATCTCACTACCAATCACTCCCAGAAGTCATTTCTATTTTTCTATCGCATTTTGTTCATACACATCTCTTTAAAAATGAAAGCAACATAGTAAAAACCTTTGTCCAATCAAATCCAAGATTTCTGCTTTTTTTTGGGGGGGTTTGGTTTCTAGCTTTTCAGGATTCATTCACCGAAGTCATATTAAACAAATTTGAAGCGACAAAAACAACCATACTAAATTATTGCACTTTTTAAGGATTAATAAATTACACATAAAATGAGTGTGATAAAAAAAACCAACCTTTAGCATACATTGCTGTCCTTAAAAGTGGCATTCTGTTTTCCCAACAAATTGCTGCACCGATTTTCCCTATAGAAGTCTCGAAAACGGGAATTGTCGACCCATCGCCAAATCCCCAAATTATACGCTCGAGTGCTGTTGGCATGACTTTCCTATGCTTTCCAAGATAATGACCTTGAGAATCGAAAAATAAAACGGTACAGTATAAGGTGTATCCATCTCTTTCTATAACACCCATCACTAAATAAACCTTATACTTTCCAGCCATAGCAGCCAACCGATCAACTTCGGGCCCTGAAGAATGCCATAAAAAAAAATAAAAAATAAGAAATAAAAAAATAAAAAAATTACAGAATGTATAATATAATAAAGGATAATATGAGGGTCAAGCAAAATAATATGGAAAGTTCATCATATTCATGCTTAAGAACTTATCCAGAGTACTCCAATCAAGGGTTGAAATACATTCTTAATAAAAGTATAATGGGTAAAACAATCGAAGCACAATCCAAATGATGAAACAACCAAGGCCTGTGAAAAAAAAAAAATGACGCAGAAAATGATCACAAAATAGCACAAGCCTTCTTTTCTTTCTTCTTTTTATTTATTTAATTGGATTGTGGAACTTAAAATACAGATAACGTTAAACAATCTGGCATGGATAAATCAGCAGAGCACAAATTATATTTTTCAAACAACCATTTCAAGAAGAAAATATTCTGGACAGTCAAACAAATAAGACTACTCAAGTCACTCCAATGTAAAAATGAAACTTATACGACACAAATACAAGAAATATCCGAACAATCTTTCTTGCTGACTGAACATGTTAAAAGAGCTCTTACCAGGAACGTCAATGGCAGAAGCATGATATTTACGGAACTCCTCTTTACCCTTAGTTGTTCGGTTTCCGATAGAAACACCAAATGTGGAGCCACGCGGATAGCCACCAATGAAAGCTTCAGGAAAAACAACTAACTGAGAACCAAAAGATGCAGCTTCAGCTAGTAGCCTTTCAGCTTTATCTGAAATAATAATAGATACACAGAAGTTTCACGATTAGCTCAAGCATAGTTAAACGCTGAAATCTAGTATATGTGAAAGAGAATGATGAATCATGACTCAAGCAAACCAAATGACATATACAAAAATCAAGAAAGCATCAACTACAGATTGGTCGAAATTGAAACCGTTTTGTCCGAAATTATAGTAACTTCTGCTAGTAATTACAAATGAATTCTTAATTATTTTAACTCAAAATTTTCTCCATAGCCAGACATTAGATTGTGAAAGAGTGTAACCCTAAAAATCCACCTTCTCTTTCACAATTCGCTCCAATCAGAAAGTCTTTTACAAAAGGCTGCTGCTTTCGTTCTTTTTTCCTTCATTTTACTAATTTGAGCTAAACCCACACGATGAAAATGAAACTTGAAAACAAAAACAAAAACAAAAATACTTCAAATTGCAATACGGGAACTATCAGCTAAACTCGAGCAAAATCCAGAAATTTCGCCAGAGCTTAGGAAGAATCGAAATGGGTAAAGTGAGAATATACCAAGAGTGGAGGGGGTGTCGTAGAAGACGGTGGCCGCCTGGACCACGGTGGCGCGGATGGTCGGAGCAGAGGCGTCGGTGCCCATGTCAACCTCGGCGAACAATGGGCCGTCGTTCGCGGTTGGGGTAGGGACCAAAGCCATGTTTATGAGGTTTTATACACCGGCAATTTCTTCTGATGCTTTGATTTTGATACTGAATTTGAGTGTCGAAGAGAAGAAGAAGAAGAAGATGATGATGGTGTAGGCAGTGCAAGGCGAAATTCTGAGGACACGTTAATCGATTTTTTTACAAAAAAAAAATCAAAACTTAACTTGCAGACAAAAAAATATAGGAAAAAGTGGAAGTGGAAAGAAATGA